GTTGATGTTTATCTATAATCGGATACCACAACAGTTTAATTCGAAGTTGTTTGCTGTGCCCATTTCACCACAGACTTATTTTCTAACCTGGGACAATTTCAAGCAGACTTCTCTAAGCGTCTCATACTGAAGAAGGGGAGAATTCCAACTATATTCCCACAAGCAGTAAACTAGTGATTTCATTATCGATTATTTACACTGTGTTATCTAGATCCAGCACAAGATCCTAGAACAGTAATAATAGCAAACTCCAAGTAACGAGCCTACATAACTAAATAGTATGACAAAGTATTTAAACTGAGGTTAATATTTCCTGCCTGTGTTGTCATATAGATCTACAAAATAATACTGTGTAGATACATATGTTAATACCCTTTTGTCAAATAATTTTAATTTCGTCTATTTCATCAACAACAACACGTCAGGGGCTAACTACGTTTGTTTAGTTGCTCAGAGATAATGTTAGCTCACTCGATCTCTCTAGCTAATGTAACTTTCTCCACCACATAAGTTGAAGTAATTTATTTGACAAGACATATTTGTTAATGTTTGCTTGTATTTCAGAGTGTGTGAAGTGAAACAGCCAATCAGAGCAGAACTGCTCATTACTTTTCATGGCCCTTCCAAATAAGGTAAAACAGACCATTTCATTCTAGGGCAAATTTCTAGAGTTGTAAATGGACCTGTAGAACCATTTTAACATGTTAAAGGCCCTTAATTAAGCCACATACCCTCCACGTAGATATCAAAATTCAAATATTATTTCAACATATTTTAGGGCACCTTTAAGTTAAATCCACAGCATTTCAATCATAATGTTGAATTAAAAGTTTACAATGTTTAGCTCTCTATTTTTCCTCAAAGGGCCCCTATTATGCTATTTTAAAGGTGTTCTCCAACAATAGGTTTACATGCATCCAAAAAAAAAAAAGAAAAAAAAAAAGAAAGAAAATCATAAATGTTCTCAAAATATACATTGCAGCCTCACCATTTGTTCTCACAGTCTGAAATGGTTAGATCAAGGATTGGGTCTCTCAAAGCCCCTTTCCGAGAGTTTACTCTGCTCTGATTGGTCAGATGGCTCAGTCTGTTGTGATTGGTCTACCCCTTACAGCACATGTCGGAAATGAAATACCCATTACCATATCTGAATTTTAGCTCTGGAGGCTTCTTCAGCAATTGATACAAAGTGATACGAACAATAACATTTGTGTTGGTATTACCGTATCAATTTGACCATAAAAAACAAAAAAACAAAAACATAAATCTGGGTCACAGAGAGAAAATGTACGATGGAAGTGAATGGAGCCAATACAAAAAATGTTAAATAGTCATTGTTTCAAAAGTATAGTGACAAGGCGTAAACAATATGCATGTTAAAGGGTTAGTTCACCCAAAAATGAAAATTAAGTCATTAATTACTCACCCCCATGCTGTACCAACCCCGTAAGACCTTCGTTCGTCTTCGGAACACAAATAAAGATATTTTTGATTAAATTTGAGAGCTGTATAACTACCACATTGGCTCCTAAAGCACTGCCTCTTGACGGCCCAGAAAGTCAATGAAGAAAATGTTTAAATATCCCAAGTGACTACCGTGGCTCAACTATATGTTTATCAAGCGACGCGAATACTTTTTGTGCGAAAAAACAAACAAAAATAACGAGTTTATTCGACTATTTCTTTTCTTCCTTGTAGGCCAGAACGAGACTTCCTTAGATTTCCACGACGCATGCGCGAGATTTGCGATCTGCTCACATCAGCTTACACCACTTCAGATCGCAATTCTCGCGCATGCGTTGTGGAAATCTAAGGAAGTCTCGTTCTGGCCTACAAGGAAGAAAAGAAATAGTCGAATAAACTCGTTATTTTTGTTTGTTTTTTCGCACAAAAAGTATTCGCGTCGCTTGATAAACATATAGTTGAGCCACGGTAGTCACTTGGGATATTTAAACATTTTCTTCATTGACTTTCTGGGCCGTCAAGAGGCAGTCCTTTAGGAGCCAATGTGGTAGTTATACAGCTCTCAAATTTAATCAAAAATATCTTTATTTGTGTTCCGAAGACGAACGAAGGTCTTACGGGGTTGGTACAGCATGGGGGTGAGTAATTAATGACTTAATTTTCATTTTTGGGTGAACTAACCCTTTAACATATATTATTCATATTTTTTTCTTTTATTTTCTTTTATTCTCTTTTAAATCCTTCATAAATTCACCCCCTTTACTTCCATTGTAAGTGCCTAAGTTCTCAACTCATGTTAGTTCCACACATAAAAAGGGGGACAGTGGAGAACTGCTGGCGCTGTCTATTGCAGTCTTGAGAAATGTAATAACATTATAATAACATTGTTCTTTGTATATAAATATATAAAACTGTGAGTGAGTGATTCAATGGTTGCAGATTCTATATAAAGGACAGATGAGAGTTCCGGGAGTTTATGCAAGCTGCCGGTTCGCTAGAATCACTTCTGGTACTGTGAACAGCAAGACAGAAGTGACACACTGCTTGCAAAAACACTGGCACATGCACTCTTTGATTTTAGACTGGTTATATTAAGATAAACAACACAGTGTTATGTCACTGTTCATTCCTCAAGTCTATGGTGTAATAGGTTTTTTTTTGTTTGTTTTTTAGAGAAAACATTATTAATTACTTTTTTTTTTTTTTTTTTTTTTTGTGGTAATCAACATCATGCCACTGCCACATATACTGCAGATTGAGTATTTACAGTTGTATTGAACTTGAAGAACTCCTTTAACCAGAGCTACTATCTCACAAACAACTGAGAGTGTTGGTTGGGGAGGCATAATGGACCTCCCCAGAGAGAGCAGGCAAGAGCTTCTTCATTCACAACGCCTGAAGCTGCAGGTGCTCAGAATAATTTATGAGCATGTCACAGGGTGATGTGGTCATCTACAGGCCAGCGAACACCAGGGGAACTCACAGCAGAACGTCATTCTGGAATGGGAGGCACATCACAAAAGCATGACAGAGTCATGCCCGCAAATTTTAAAAATGACGGAAGATGGCAAATTCATTTCCACCCGTAAAGGTTACCGTGGATGTGGTATATTTAATGAAAAGAGATGGAAAAGGCAAGAATGTGGGAGTGAAAAAAGGAAAAGTCAATGGGCAAAAAGCAGAAAAGATAAAAGAGGGAGATGAAAAGAGGTTTATTGTAGATAAGACTCTTTGTTAGTAGGCCACAGCTCCAGCTGTTAGATTTACAGCCACAGGGCATCAGTAAAAGAGCTCATCAATTTCCCTGTCTGTTCATCCACCTGCCACTCGCTGACGTTTATCTGCTATCACACACACATACACAGTCCAAAAATACGCACATATACCCAAATATTGCTCAACAACTGGCGTTAACAGATGTAAAAAACTGTTTCAGTTAAATTCATCTATACATTTCTGAAAATTCATAAAGCGGTTTAACTAAACAATATTGTGAGCAGTCGTTATTCTGAAAATAGGCTGCCGCAGATGATTTAAGCCATGCTGATATCCTGGATATCCAGACAAACAGTGTGATTGTACAGTAAGTGTGACTTTGCTTTTCACAACAATTAAACAAAGTCGTAACTTTAAATTTATCCAGATATTGTCATTTACTTTTTTCAACTTGCATTTGTTTTTGCTCCGCCAACAAAGATAGTTCTGAGCAACACATTAGCGGCTTTTACTGAATTAATCAGTGTTGGATGAACTGAACCAGTTGGTTTAATGAATGATGCAATGAATCAATCATAAAGACAGTTTCGTTCCTGAGTAAATTTGAATTTTTGACTAAATCTAAAGACACGTTTCACATTTGATTGAATTGATTGAGTGAATGATTAACTGATTGACTCATAAAGACGTGTTTCCTTCCTGAATAAATCAGTTTTGGATGATTAATAAATCAAACGATGCTTTTTTTTTCATAGCAATTACATTTACTACAAAAATGTTCCCATGTGAGCAGGAAATCCATCATACAATAAATATATTTTAATTTTTACTCAAACACAGATTCTCAAAGGCCTTCATTAGTTCAGTGGAAGCAAGTGATTAAAGGTTATAGGTAAAGGCTGACGGTTAAGAGACCTGTTTCAATAGTCAACTGTTTGAGGATGAGAAGTTGGAGGAGAATACGAGAAAGATTGATGGAGAGAGAGACTGCTTGTATGTCAAATAATTTCTCTTTTGCATCCTCTCCCCATTCCCAATTTGGTACTTCCTGTGGTGCCAGGTGGGCAAGCTAAAGCTGGCATTTACCAGGGAAATGTAAAACAGCATGAAATGTTGCTCCATACCAGCTTGGCTGGATACAGAGGCTTTGGAAAATGGAAGCATGCTGGGAAGATACTTGGCATTCATACGCTTCAGACACCCACATGATGAAGAACCAGGAAAAGCCCGGGAAAAGGTCACGCATTTCAACCGCTGACTATTGTTTAGATCTGCAAGATTACAAAGCCAAAATGTTATTGCATTAAATTACATGATAT